GGAACTACCAGAAAGAGGAACCAAAACACAACAGAAGAAAAAAATAGCAAATGGTATGCTTCTATCTGCATTCAAATTCCATAGTTCTTTCTTAGGATGTGTATAGCATTTTCCATCATGAGGCCTTTGTGAGATATCTTAGATCCTTGTGTTGCTGAGAAGGGTTAAGTCTATCAATATTAGTACCTAACTGATTATGTTATTCCCTTCTTGAGCCAAATCTGATGAGAGTAAGGTTTGAACAATGCTCATCTCCCTCCCTTCTTTCCCTCTGCTGTAATAGGTTTTTGTGCCTTTTCCTGTAAGGTAATTTACCCTTGTCTGCCTCCTTCTTTCCTTTTCTCTCAATACATTTTCTTAGTCAGATCAGATTAATCCACTTACTTAGATCCATTTAACCCACTTGATTAATTTTTTTATCATTACATCAAAGTCAACTTATACCCACCCCCTTTATGTATACCCCTTTAACATGCTGTAATAACAGTATAATTCTCAAGATTCCAAGTGTCATCTTCCCTTGTAGTGATGTAAACAGTTTGCCCTTATTAATAGCGTGTTGTTTCTTTCTGTCCTGTTTACCTTTTTATGTCTCTCTTGAGTCTTGTATTTGAAGATCAAATTTTCAATTGAGCTCTGTTCTTTTTATCAGGAAGGTTTGGAAGTCCCCTATTTCATTGAATATCCATCTCCTCCCCTGAAAGATCATGCTCATTTTCACTGGGTAGTTGATCCTTATTTGTAATCCAAGCTCCTTTGCCTTACGGAATATCATGTTCCATACCCTATGGTCTTTTAATGTAGAAGCTGCAGGGTTCTGTGTAATCCTGACTGTGATTCCATGATATTTAAATTGTTTCCTTCTGGCTGCTTGCAGTATTTTCTCTTTGACCTGGTAGTTTGGGAATTTGGCTGCTATATTCCTTGACATTTTCAATTTGGGATCTCTTTCAAGAGGTGATCAGTGGATTCTTTCTATTTTACCCTCTGGTTCTAGGACCTCAGGGTAGTTGTCCTTTATGACTTCCTGAAAGATACTGTCCAGGCTCTTGTTTTCATTGTGATTTTCAGGTAGACCAATAATTTTTAAATTGTCTCTCCTTGATCGCTTTTCCAGGTCAGTTGTTTTATCAATAAGGTATTTTATGTTTTCATGTATTTTTTTTCATTCTTTTTTTGTTTCTGTTTGACCAGTTCTTGTTCTCTCATAGAGTCATTCGCTTCCGTTTGCCGAATTGTAATTTTTAACAAATTGTTTTCTTCTATTAGATTTTGTACCTCCTTCCCCATTTGGCCAATTGTATTTTTTAGGGACTTGTTTTCTTCAGTGTACTTTTTTTACAGTTGGCCAGTTGTATTTTTTAAGGACTTGTTTTCTACAGTTAATTTTTGTCTTTCCTTTTCCAAGCTATTGACTCTTTCTTGCATACCTCTCATTTCTTTTCCTATTTTTTCTTCTACCTCTCTCCTTTGACTTTTAAAATCCTTCTTGAGCTCTTCTAAGAAGGCTTTTTGGGCTTCAGAGCAGTTCATATTCCTTTTTGAGGTTCCAGATATGGGTTTGTTGACAATGTTGTCCTCTTCAGAATTTCTGCCTTTATCTTCACTCTTCCCATAATAAGAATCTATCGTATGTTTCTTTTTGCTCCTGGTGTTTGCTTATTTCCTGGCCTTTAAAGAGGTTGAGCTCTCCTTCTGGGGTGCAGAGGGCACTGACCCAAGCTTATTGTGTTGGGAGCCTAGGGCCTAGTCACTGGCTGTATGTGCTGGGGCCTCCAGTACTGGCAGTTGGAGGCTGTAAGGTTCTGGCAGCTTACCTGGTGTTGGGCTGGAATCAGCAACCCTGGAACTCTAGGGGTAGGATTGGGTAGTGTGCCTCTTTGGAGATTTCCTGCTCGCCCAGGCCTTTCCTTCCTTTTGTTTTCTTCAGCTCCTTTCATATGGATGTTGCAGGATATTTATCCTTCCGGGGCCCTTTGGAGCACTGCTTCCTTTAGTTTTGCTGAGGCACTGGGAAAGCCTGTTGCTGTAGAATGCCTAGGCACCTGGTGGTTTTCCAAGCTGGTTTCCACTGGTTCCCCCACCCTCTGGGGTCTCCTTTAGCAAGCTGTTGACTTGTTTTTCATGATTTTCTTGCATAACTCTTGTTTCTCTTCCCAGTTTTTCCTCTACTTCTCTTACTTGCTTCTCAAAATCCTTTTTGAGCTCTTCCATGGCCTGAGACAGATTCGTATTTTTCTTGGAGGCTTTGGATGTAGGAGCTTTGACTTTGTTGTCTTCTTCTGGTTGTATGTTTTGATCTTCTTTGTCACCAAAGTAAGAGTCTGTGGCCTGCCTTTTTTGTGCTGTTTGCTTATGTTTCCAGCCAATTACTTGAGTTTTAAACTCTTTGTTAAGGTAGGGATCTGCTTCCAGTGTGAAGAATGTACTGTCCCAAGCTTCAGGGGTTTTGTGCAGCTGTTTTCAGAGATACTTCTAGGGACCTGTAAATTTTCACTTCTTCTGAGGTAGTTTGATCAAGGGTGAGGTGTTTACTCCTTTCCTGGCCTGTGCTCTAGTCTTTGAGTGACCACAAGCACACTTTTCTGCCTTGGAACTGTGAGGAGGATTCGCTCTGCACCACCACCACAAGCTCCACCATGCCAATGTTCCTCCTCACCCCAGGACCACCAGCTAGGACTGCAACCCAGCTCCAAACATGGTCAAAGCAAGAGAATACTGCCTCAGCACCAGCCAAGAGATCCCTGCAATCCCCCTCTGATCAGCCACTTGATCCCCCCACTGTCTGTGGGCTGAGAGCTCTGGAAGCAGCCGCTGCCCTGGGGCTGTGCCAGAACTGGGGCCAGACAGCACTCCTCTCTCACCCAGGTTCAACAGACCTTTCCTATTGACCTTCTAAGTTGTCTTTGGCGTTTGTGGGTTGAGAAGTCTGGAAACCACTACAGCTGGTAGTGATTCATTCCCCTGAGGCCTGCTCCCAGGGCTGCTGAGGCCTGGTCTTTGTTTGTGTGGCCTACGTTGAATTGTGCTCCTCTACCGGCCCGGCTCAACAGACCTTTCCCATCAACCATCCACGTTGTCTTGGGCTGTCACTTTGTTTCACTCTGTCTTTTTGTGGGTTATGCTGCTCTAGAATTTGTTTAGAGCCATTTTTACAGGTATTTGGAAGGATTTGGGGGAGAGCTCAAGCAAGTCACTGCTTTTACTCTACCATCTTGGCTCTGCCCCCCCATTATTCTTGTGTTTACCTTGAAAAAACATGAAAGAGGATTGGTGAAAGTGTTGGGCTGGCTAGGAATGGCCTAACACTTTTCATTGATGGTATAAATGTGATAGTGTGTTGGCAATGTGAAGTTGGTGATGATGGGGATATAGCCTCTAATGGTGATTATATAACAGTGTTTATAGTTTTGACATGACTTTGATAGTGGGGATGTGAAAGTATTATTAGTGGGTACATATGTAACAATGATTGATGGGGATGTGAAAATGATGATGATGGAGTTCTAGTACTTATGGTGACCATATGACAATGTGGATTGTAAGAATGTAATAGTAATGGAGCTGAGAATGTGACAGTGAAGCTTATGGGATTTTGACAAAGCTGTTCATGACTTTTTGAAAGTGAAGGTGGTAAGGATGTGGCAGTGCTGATGGTTCTAATGTTATGAGATAGTAGGAATGTGAAAGCAGTGCCAGTGATGTGAAATTGATGGTGGTAGAGATGGCCATGGTAATGTGAAAGAAAACAATAATGGCCAATTTCAGAAGTCTTATCAAGGCAGCATCCAATTCTAACCAGAGTCTGATGGTGAGGCATGCTTCCCATTTTTCTGGAGAGATATGGTGGATTAATTGTGAAATCCATTTCCAGACATGGTCAGTGTGTTGATTTTTTTATGTTTGGCTTAATATGGTGCAAGATAGGGATTTAGGGCTAAGTTAAAAAAATGTAATGTACATGATAACAATTGCCTCAGAAAACAAGTAAAAAAGGAGTATTTAAGAATCATTAGATTTTCAGGGACAGCTAGGTGACGCAGTGGACAGAGCACCTGTTCTGGAGTCAGGAGGACTTGAGTTCAAATCCAACTGCAGACACATAACACTCATTAGTGGTTTGACTCTGAGCAAGTCACTTAACTCCAATTGCCTCACCAAAAAACCCCCCAAAAAACCAAACATTAGATTTTCTGGGAAAAAAAAAACGTAATTTTAAAAGACTTGGACTATATAGTATAAGAAATTATCAATGAAAATTACCCCACATCTATTAGAAGCAGAGGGCAAATTATAGACAGAAAAGATCCACCTATCACTTCCTTAAAAGAATCCAAAGATAAAAAGTCCCAAAAACCTCATAGCCAATCCAAAGCTCTTGAGGCAAATAAAAAATACTAGAAGCAGCCAGAAAGAAAGAGTTTAAGTACCAAAAAACTTATTTAAGTATAACAAATATAATATACATGATAACAACAATGGCCTTGGAAAACAAGTCAAAAAGAGGTATTTAAGAATCATTTTATATAAGAATCAATTTTGTATGTTACATTATAATCAGGATGACACAAAACCTGGAAGCTTTTACTAAAAACCAGAAGAGTATCATGGAATACAATATACCAAAAGACAAAAGTTTATGTTATTTGAAGATAATGGAATATTATTGGGCCACAAGAAATTATGGAAAATAATTTTAGAAAGTCATGGGTAGTATGAAATGATGCAGAGCGAAGTAAAAAAACCAGATGGACAATTGATTGTAAGGTTGTGTCAGTAATACTAATAATTTCAAAAATAGGTCCATTGATACAGTTTTTAAAAAATAGAAGAAAACAGAATCAAGTCAAAGTAGTCACTCATAAAAGAGATCTGGAGTATGTTTGAGGTAAAGAGGGGACACAAACAGCAGGATGGTTTTGAGAGCAATGTCCAGAATTAACTTAATAATTTTAAAAATAAAAAGTATGAAATGGAGATTCCTGGTTACATAAAACATCCTATTTTATGTTCTGATATTTATCTGGAAACATTATTTTTGTGTGTTTGAGTTCAGAACAAAAAGTATCCAAAAAAGAAAGTAATGGTTATGATCAGAAAGTGCTGATTTAACAATGATGATCTTGGAGATGATAGTGATGGTAGTGGCCATGTGCCAATGAGGACTGTAGAGCTACAGAAATGATAGTGATAGAGATGTGAAAGGGACTATGTCAACGTAAGAGTATTCATGGTGGTGATGTGACAATTCTTATGGTGCCAGGGGATGTAAAAGTGGCATCCTTGTACAACAGGCTCTGGGGGCAAAACCGTAATTCCAAGGTGGACCAAAGGTTTGGCATCCATTAGCAAACATGGCCAATATGTGTTTGTGATTTGGCTGAATTACACTTAGTTGCTTACTGCTCCTCTTTTCTTATCCACTTAACCAGTTATGTTACCTGGTCCAGATATAATCAAAATGTCTAGGAAGTGACTTGGAGGAAAAGAAAAGGTAAGGAAAAATCAAGGGGGTCAAAAAGATTGGTTACCAAACTGCAAAGACTTCTTGAGCTCCAGTTCTGAGAGAATGAATCTAAACTTGACCACTGAAGCTAAGGTAAGGAGAGTTGGCTTGAATGGGAGAAGAGTGATCCCAGGGAAGGCTAGGAGGGGGTGAGGTCACTTTACTTATAGGTTCCCTTGATTGTGATACAAGGTTACTGGGGGAAACTTGTCAAGCTCATTTCCCTTTCAATTGGTGTAAGATAGCAAGAAGTTTGTTGTGGGTATTACCTTGTCCTTCTGTAATAACAGCAAGTTTCTCCCCACAGCAGGGCCACCTACAACTGGATTGCTTCACTAAGGTATTGCTCACTTCCCCAATGCAGCCTGCCATACCATGCCCCTCATTAGGCTCCATCATCATTGGAGGCTGAGAGTCAGAATTCCCTTGAACAAGCATTTGTCAGACCCAGGCTATGTGCCAGGTGCTAAGTTAAGTTTCAGGACCCAAAGAGAAAAGCAAAAGGCTTTCATGCATCTAAGAACCTACCAGCAATTGCTGGGAAATAATACATAGAAAAATGCAAAGCGTATTAAAAATAGTTTTGGGGTGGGGTGGTGAGAGTGATCTTATGTGTAAAATGAAAGATAGGTTGTTTACAATATAACAGGGATTGCAGAGGGCACAGTGTAATGTCAGGGAAGAATGAGGTAGCTGAGCAGATAATCATTGTTACTCTTCCTCTTCTCTTTTCCAGTCATGCAGGCATGTTGTCTGGTCCAGATATAATCAAAATATATTGTAATTGACTCAGAGGCAAAGAAGAGGTAAGGAAGGATGATAGGAGTCAAAAGCAGTTATCATTAAGGGGCTATCGGCCCCCTGTGCTCTAGCTCTGAGAGCGTGAATCTGAACTTACACACCCAAGCTAGGGTAAAAAGGAGAGTTGACATGAGTGTTACCAGGGAAAGGCTACAGGAAGGTAGGAGTCACTTGTAAAAGAGATCTAGAGTATGTTTGAAGTAAAGACTTACAAGAATGTAGAAGTCTAGGGGCAGCTAGATGGAGCAGTAGATAGAGCATCGGCCCTAAAGTCAGGAGGACCTGAGTTCAAATCTGGCCTCAGGCACATAACACTTACTAGCTGTGTGACCCTGGGCAAGTCACTTAACCCCATTACCTAGCCAAAACAAAACAAAACAAACAAACAAACAAAAAGAATGTAGAAGTCTGATCAATGAAATGTCCCATCATGACTTCAGGACACTGATGGTGTAGCAATGCCCCACCACCCCTGCTCCTTTCTGGAGGCAAGTGGTGGTCTTAAGGTGTGGAATCCATGCTCAGACAGGGCCAATAGGTTTTCTTGGACTGCTTTGGCTAGAGTAATGGATTATGTGACAAGGTGGGTGGGCATATAGACAGTGGGAAATTCCTAAAATGGAAAAAAGAGCATTAATAAATTTTTTTTGTATCCTTTCCTTCCCCCACCTAACTTCTCTGTAAATAGTTCCTGGAATATAGCGCATGTTTATTAATTGCATTTTGACTTGACTTTTCAAAGAAAATAAATTTTACTAATATCTTCTCTTTCTACATTACCTTCATGTCCACAGGTATTGCTTATGGTTCCCTCCCAGCAACCCATCCACTGCCATGGAGGAGAGAAAAAGAGAAAAGTAGAAAGAAAAAGCAATTCAGCCAAAGGAACCAAGGAATCAACTAAGACTGAAGATGTCCATCACATTCCAAATGAGCATCCTCCCACTACTTCCGTGAAGGGAAAGAGGTAGACTTTGTCAGCTCTTCACTGGGGCCAAATGGGCTCATTGTCCTTACATATCTTGCAGTTTTGTTTTGTCATTCTTTATTTTTCCATTGTTGTTTTTCTGGTCCTGCTAACTTAATTTTGCATCAGCTAGTCAAAACGTTTCCACTCTTTTCTGAACTCTTTACATTTGTCATTTCTGATGACATACTCATGTTCTTTTACAATCCAGTACAATTTTTTTAGCCATTCCCCGTCTGTGGGCAAGGGCAGCTAGGTGGCGCTGCAGTCGATAAAGTGCCACCCCTAGAGTCAACAGGACCTGAGTTCAAATCTGGACCCAGACACTTACTAGCTATGCGACTCTGGGCAAATCACTTCACTCTGTTTGCCTCAGTTTCCTCATCCATAAAGTGAGCTGGAGAGGGAAATGGCAAACCACTCCAGTATCTTTGCCGAGAAAACCCCAAACAGGATCACAGAGAGTCAGACACGATTGATCAACTAAAAGGCAACAACAACAACATCAGTGGGCAATGGCTTATTCCCATTTCCTTGCTATGAATATCCAGCACTCCTGAAACCTTTCTTTGTGTCTTTGACTGGCTTAGTGTTTATGCCTAGCTATAAAACCTGGAGATCAAGAATTATGATAACTTCTTTCAAATACTTCCAAATTAATTTCCAGAATGATTAGACTACATTTTTTACTGAGAGTCGGTCAGTCTACCCGATTATTCAAAGTCCTGCAATGTTCACTACTGCTATCTTTTGTCACCTTTGCCAATTTGCTAGATGCCTCGCATCCACAAAATCATTAATAAAACCTATTTGGGGGCATCTTCCTTCCCCTAACCTCAATGTGCAAAGTACCTGGAACATAATATATGCTTATGAATTGCATTTTGATTTGTCTTTTCAAGGAAAATCTGTTTTATTGGTATCTTTTCTTTTGACATCACCTTCCTCTCCAAAGGTATACCTCATGTTTCCCTCCTAACCAGCCAGCCATGTCCATGGGGGCAGGAGGGAAGGAAGAGTTGAAAGAAAAAGCAATTTAACCAAAGGAACCAAGATGTAAACTGAGTCAAAAAGTCTATACTACATTCCACACCATGAGTCTCCCTCTTCTCAAGTGAAGGGAAAGAGGTAAACTTTGTCAATTATTCACTGGGGCCAAATGAGATCATTAGCATTACAGTACCTTTCAGTTTCTTTTTGTTATTCTTTTTCCATTGTTGTAGTCATAGACTATATTGTTTTTCAGATCCTGATAACTTGATTCTGCATCTGTTAGTCTAAACATTTCCATGCTTTCTGAACTCTTCACACTGATCATTTTTGACAACACACTCGTGTTCCTTTACAATCTCATGCCACAACTTTTTACTTAATGTACTACTTTGATTACAGTTCCTTGCTAGCTTCAAAAAAATGGCGACTATGAACATTTGGTTCTCCTGGGACCATTCTGTGTGTCTTTGATGGCTTAGAATTTATGCCTAGTGGTAGAATCAGGAGGTCAAGAGTCACGGACATGTTATTCACATTTTTAAATTAATTTCAAATTGATTCCCAGAACGGCTGGACCAATTAAAGACTCCTACCAACAGTGACTCAATCCATCTGTCAACTTGAAACCCTCCAACATTGACCATTACCATATTTTGTCCCCTTTGTCCATTTGCTGATGCCTCACATACATAAGAGTATCCATATACTTTCTAAAGGCATCCTTCGGAAAAAAGAGAGCAAAGTGTCTAAGATGAATCATTTTTGTAAATTGGGATTTTCATGCTTGTTTCAAGGTGGGGAGGGTGGGGAAAGGGAATAGCTTGGGTGGGGTGGGTGGTGATGGTACACCTGTCAGTTGATGATGTATTTATTCCTTGGTGACTCATGGGAAAATGTACCCATTGTTACTCAGCAGGCCATTATAATTTATTGTTGTATTTCTCTTTTCCTTTCATGCAGTCATGTTTCCTGGTCCACTTCTAATCAGACTATGTGAAGAGTAAACTGTATGAAAGTAAAAGTATATGAAAAGAGGCAAAAGAGAGGTAAGAAAGGATGATGGGGGCAAAAAGGAGGGGTTGCCAAGTTAGGAAATGGCTACTGAGCTAAGGTAAGAAGTTGAGTTGGCTTCGGTGTAAGATGAGTGATCTCAGGAAAAGGCTAGAGGTGGGTGGGGGGCACTGTATTTATGGGTTCTATTTCTTACGATCCAAAGTAGATGGAAGAAACCTGTCAAGTCCTTTCCCCCTTCCATTTGGAATAAGTTCCCAAGACCTGTGTTATGTGCTTTCACCTGTCCTTCTGTAGTAACAGCTGGATCATCCCCATAGCTGGAGCCCAGGGCATCACCCACATCTACAATGAAGCCTGCCACTCCAGGCTCCACCCCTGAGGAATGATAAAAAAGAGACTGAGAGAAAGAATTTCCTTAAACATGCATATAGCAGACCCGGATTGTGTGTCAGGTGCCAGGCTAAGTTTTAGGACATAAAGGCAAAATCCAAAGCCCCCCTAAGCCTCTAGGAGCTTACAGGCTATTGCAGGAAAATGATGCATACATAGTAAATTAAATACAAAAAAATCATACAGTTATCGTTTACACATTGCAGGGGTTAGGGGTGTGGCACCCCATGAGCTGGGAAATCCACATAAAATTTTTTGGCTCTCTGTTCATACCAGAGAAGTCTTCCAGCTTCATAGATTTCCTTCTCTTTTTTCTTGATATTATACAAGACCATCCATATATGTTATGCATTTCTGAATTTCTAAACTTTTTTGGGGTTGTCTGCTGGCCTTCACATGTCATCTGCAGCTTCTGCAAAGCTCCTCCCAAATTCCCATTTAATTTCTTATGTTGACCTGCAATATATTGAAATCGTGATGGAGAAAATCACAATGTGGAAGGGATAACTGTACTTAAGTCTGGAGTGGGGATAGTAGGGGCAATCACCTGTGTGATATGAAGCATAGTTTGTTCAAAATACATCAGGGGTTACAGAGGGCCTAGTGAAAGTGCAGGAAAGACTGAGGTAGCAACAAAGTTGGGGTTGACAGGGATAGGGATGAACCTGGGCAGGGAAGGGGGTCCTCAGCCCAGGTAATTCCAGAACTTGGAATCACAGTGAATAGTAAGTTTCCAAGTCCATCCCAGTGGATTGCTTCAAGGCTTTAATTCTTAATTCAGGGGGTATGGAGAGCAGGTGGTGGGGTGAACAAGGTATACAAATAGGTTATATGATGTTTTGTTAGGTGAGTCATGGCAAAATGTTGTTCAAAAATTCATCATTGTTTACTGTTCTTCTCTTTTCCACCCAGTCAAGTTTGGAGGCAGCTAGGTGGCACAGTGGCTAGAGCTCTGGGCCTAAAGTCAGGAAGACTTGAGTTCAATTATAGCTTCAGATACTTACTAGCTATGTGACCCTGGGCAAGTCACTTCACCTCTATTTATCTTGGTTTCCTCAACTATAAAATGATAGGTAGCATCTACCTCCCAGGGTTATACTAAGGGTCACATGAGATAATATTTGTAAAGTGCTTAATGCAGTGCCTAGCACGTAGTACGAGCTCTATTAATGCTAGCTATAATGATGATAATAATGTTATTTATATAATAATGAGTTGTATAATAATATTATTATTGTTATGCTTACTATTCTAGTTATAATCAAAATATATAAGAAGTGACATGGAATCAAGGTAGAGTTAGGGAAGGATGATGGGGTCCAAAGAGATGGTGACTATATTGGCCACTCAAGCTAAGGTAAGAGAGGGGATTTCGCTTGGGTGGGAGATGAGGAGGGTAGAGGGGGCACTCTAGCTAGCTATGTGCTAGCTATAGCACATATATGCTATATGATATATAGCACTCTAGCTATATATCATAAACATATCACCTTGTTCATGACCCAAGGTGGCTAGAGGAAACTGGTCAAGTCCTTTCCTCTTCCATTTGGACAGGCTACCAAATCCTCTATGGTGAGCTTTTCTTCATCCTTCCATAGTAACAGCTGGTTGATCCCCACAGCTGGGGTACAGGGAAACCTGTTGTGACCAGATTACTTCAGCAATCACTCACATCCACAATGCAACCTGCCACTCCAGGCTCTCCAGTGGGCCCCTTTGTTCTTGGAATCCCTAAGAAAACATAAAAGCAGCTCAGTGATACAGTGAATTGAGTGCTGGGCCTGGAGTTAGTAGGACCTAAGTTCAAATCCTACCTCAGACACTTACTAGTTGTGTGACCCTGGACAAGTCACTTAACCTTTGTTTGCCTCGGTTTCCTCATCTGTAAAATGGGAATAATAATTAGCACCTGCCTTCCCAGGTTGTCGTGAGGCTCAAATGAGATAGTAATTGTAACTTAGTGCCCAGCAGATAGTAAGCATTATATAAATGTTAACTATCATTATCTATCATTATCCTCCTTCTCCTCCTTCTCATCATCATCATCATCATCATCATTATACAGAATTCCCTTAAATGTGCATTCATCAGGCCCATTATGTATTCCAAGCGCTAACTTTGGTTTTAATACCCAAAGGCCCATTCATTATTTAGAATTTCATTATTAAGTCTCCTTTTGGGTCTGTGCCTTTCCTATATGTGATCACTGAACTGATTACTCTTTTTGTTGCAGTATGGTTTGTAATGGATGAGCATATTATTTCTGCTTTTTTTCATTTATTTATAATGTCCCTGTGCCCTAATACGCTATCAGTTTTTTTATAAATGGTCCATGTGGTACTTAAAATACATGTATTATTTTGTAGTCCCATTTATTTTTTTTTAATTTTAATGAAAATTATTTTCAAATAATGATATATTTATTTTACCTCCTTCCCATCTTCCCCCATCCCCTGTATTGAGAAAGCAAGAAAAATAAAAGCCCCAGTTAGAAACAAATTCCTCTCTTTGCCAAGTTCCAAAAAATTATGTCTCAGAATCTGTACTCTGAACCCATAGTCTTTATCAGGATGTTGGTAGCATGGCTTGGCCTACCCATAGTTTACATTATTCCATTTTTCTTTGACTCACCCATTCTTTAGGATTAAGTTATGTAGTTTTGAATTAATTTCTAATAATTTCTTCAACAGCTCTTTATTGAATATATTTATTTCTTGTAGTCTATAGAAGAAGCATTTCATATTTCTATCTTACATTCATTTTTAATTTTTTTATTCTGTAATACATGGTCCATTTTTGTGAAGGTGTCACACACAGCTAAGAAACAGGTATACATCTTTCTATTCCCATTCACTAGTTTCCAGGGATCTATAGCTAACCTTTCTAAAATTCTATTCAGGTTCTTCACTTCTTTTTTGTTTAGATTTATCTAGGTCTGAGAGGGCTAATGTGATGCCCCCCCCCACTGTCTTTTTCTCCCTATAACTTATTTAACTTTTTCTTTAAGAATTTAGATGCTACGGGCAGCTAGGTGACACAGTGGATAGAGCACCGGCCCTGAAGTCAGGAGGACCTGAGTTCAAATCTCGCCTCAGACACATGATACTCATTAGCTGTGTGACCCCAGACAAGTCACTTAACCTTGATTGCCTTGCCAAAAAAAAGAATTTAGATGCTATGCTGTTTGGCATCTTTCGTTTGGTATTAATATTAATTCATTGTCTATGGTATATTTCAGCAAAATATAGTTTCCCTGTTTATCTTTTTAGGTCTATTTTTGCTGCTGCTCTATCTGAGATCATGATTGCTACGCTTGCTTCAGGTAAAGTATAAGAGATTTTGTTCCAGCCACTTCTTTTAACTTTGTGTACATCTTTCAGTTTCAGGTATGTTTCTTGTAAGTACCATATTGTTGGACTCTGCTTTTTAATCCATCTGCTATCCTCTTCTGTTCAGTGAAAAATATGTTGGAAAATATAGCTTAGGAGCCAAGGACTGAGAGAGACCAAATATTTGTAGACTATAAAGAAGCCTCATCTGTCTGTCATGACTATCTGTCATGAATACTTTCTTCCAGAAAAAAAGACAAAGGTATTTAATATGGAGAGTACCAAATAACATTAGCAAATGAAATTGATTATATTTCAATGGAGTGGAAAATGACTTGTTCCTGATATGAATTGGTAGTCTGTCAGACCATCAGTTTGTTAGAGCAAAGATAATAATTACCATAAAACTAAGAGAAAGAATAAAATTAGAAAAAGACAGGGTATAAAATTAAAACTGCACCTTGACTTATTCATGCAAGTTATTGAGGCCAAAGGGAGTCAATGTGGTATAGTGGGTAGAGAGCTGGCCTCTGGGTCCAAATGTCACCTGTGACCCATCCCGGCTGCAAGACGCTGAGCAAGTCACTTAACTTCTCAGTTCTCCAAGCAACTCTCTAAGACTACGAATTACAAAAAAAAAAAAAAAAGGAGCTGACCTACATTGGTAAAGGGAATTTTCTTGTTTTCCATATTAATAAAATCACAGGTCCATTCCGTATAACCCTTATTTGCCAAACTGATAGATTAAATCAGTGAACCGTTTATTAAGCACCTACTATGTGACAGCTAGGTGGCGCTGCGGTGCATAGAGTGCCAGGCGTGGAGTCAGGATGGCCTCATCTCTCACAGAAGCTTACTAGCTGGGTGACCCTGGGCAAGTCACTTACCCCTATCTGCCTCAGTTTCCTCATCTGTAAAATAAGCTGGAGAAGGAAATGGCAAACCACTTGAGTATCTTTGCCAAGAAAATCCCAAATGGGGTTGCAAAGAATCAGACAGGACTGAAAATGACTGAACAACAACATGTACAAAAAAAGATCAAAGACAGTCCCTGCCCTCGAGAAGCTCACAATCTAATGGAGGCGACAGCATGCAAACAGCTATGTCCAAACAAGATATATACAGGGTAAATGGGAGATAATCAATAGAGGGGAATGTTCAATTAAGGGGGATTGGGAAGGGCCTCATGCAGAAGGTGAGATTTTAGCTGAGAGTTGAAGGAAGCCAGAGAAATGAGGCAGTGAAGATGAGGAAGAAGAGCATTCCAGGCATGGGGGACTGCAAGTTAAAGAGCATGGAGTTGGGAGATGGTGTCTTGTACGGGGAATTACAAGAAGGCCAGTGTTAGGAGATTGCATAGTTTGTGACAGGACTGAGAGGGGACACAGGTAATGAAGGTCTTTGAAAGCCAAACAGAGAGTTTTGTATTTGATCTTGGAGGTGATAGGGAGCCAGTGGAGTTTATGGAATAGGGAAGTGACAGGTCAGACCTGTGATTTAGGAAGATCACTTTGACAGCTGAGTATAGGAAGGACTGGAATGAGGGGAGACTGGAAGCAGGGAGGCCAACCAGCAGCTATTACAGTAGTCCAAGTGTTAGCTGATGAGAGCCTGTAACAGGCTGGTGCCAGCTTAAGAATCAGGCATTTTAAGAAAGGCATGAGACTTTTGGCTTACCTGCAGATTTGCTTTTCCAGAGAATGTGGACTTAGTTGATCTGCAACCATACAGCATTGTGTGACGAGCTGGCCTCAGGACCCAGAAGGACCTGGTTGTGAGTCTTCCCTGTCATCCAGAACAGCGGTATGATCCTGGATAAGGAACCTCTCTCTGCCAATGCAGGTAGGCACTTACTTCTGCAACTGACCATCTTTGAGAGTCACCTAGAGCAGAGGTATCAAACTCATGACCCACAATACTGCTGGGTATAGCGAGAACCAGAGGAAAATGTAATTGGGAAATATTTCACAACATGGATAAAAATACATCAAAACACAGCTAATATTCATATGTGGCTTTCAAAGCCAGTATACATCCACAGGGATCCTTAGATACAAGTCTAGCGGCCCCCATTTCTATTTGAGTTTGACCCCACTGGCCTGGAGTATTGAGAGGTTAGGTGACTTACCCACAGCCATAGAGGCAGTAAGGTTAAAGGTCGCACTTGAACCCAGATCTTCCTGGCTCTGAGGCCAGCTCACTATACATTGTACCACACTGCCATTGAAAAAGAAAGAGATTGGTCTGGCTTTTTTTTTGTTTTTTAGGCAATTGGGGTTAAGTGACTTGCCCAGGGTCACACAGCTAGTAAGTGTCAAGTGTTTGGTCCGAGGCCAAATTTGAACTCAGGTCCTCCTGACTCCAGGGCCAGTGCTCTATCCACTGAGCTACTTGGCTACCCCTGCTCTTTTCTTTTTGGGGGGTTAATGTTGATAACACTTTACTTTTGGAGTAATACACAGAGCTACAGCACCAGATTTGGAGGCAGCAGCTACAAGTTCAAATCCTGCCTCTGCCACTTATTAGCTACATGCCTCTTCCTGTTACTCAGTTCCTTCAGCTGTAAAATGGGGGTGGGGGATAGACTCCACAGCCTCTACCGTCCCTTTGGCTCTAAATCTCTGATCATTTTAACTATAGCAAATCCATTCAGCCGATAAGTGAACTAAGTAGATTCTTTGGGAATGGACTGAGAATACAAGTAAGACTTAAACAAGACTGTGCCCACTTTCAAATGTATTTTTGCCTTTTGTGGATTGGTTCCAGGTTATTTGGAGCTTTAAAGATAGTACCTGGAATCACTAGTAAGGCTGTGAATGTACTGGCATACACTAGAAAGAGCATTATCTCTGGAGTCAGAAAACCTGGGTTCAAGTCCCTGCTCTAACATTCATTACAAGGGCAACCTTGGACAAGTCCCTTCCCCTCCCTGGGCCTCAGTTTCCTCATCTGTTAAAAAAAAAAAAAATAGGAGACCCCTGAGATACCTTCCAGCTCTGGGGCTATGAACTATTAAGTTGAGCTTTGAGCGCCATCTAGTGGCTTGTAATGATATAGCACCTGAGCAGCTGCTCAAAGCTACACTTGTTGGTATTCAGTAACATTTCTCTTTGAGACCCAAACTATCCTTGAGGAAAGGAGGGAAAGTTGGGGTGAAGAGGTTCAATGTCACATGCATTTTCTTTCATTTGCTTTTCTTTAGACATTTCAGTTCTGGAAATTTTCCAGATCATTTTCCAGAAGCAAAATTTTAGAAAGCTTTTGTGCACATTTTTATTCAAGCTCACTGATAAATACATTGGGGTAAACAAAAGGAAAATCAGGGCAAGGGCACATCTTGCAACATATTCCTAGTGACCTCTCTCCATGTTAACATTGATTCCTTAATCAAGGCTGTTCTGGATCTCGTAATTCAGACAGATGTGAGCGCCTTGAAAGAGTTGACCTTGAAATACTTCAAAACCCAAATAGTTCCAATTTTTAGCCTCAGTTTGTTGCCAAGAACTCAATCTGCTCTGGCTACATCTCCTTCTGATTCTTATCTTTTAAGGAATGGGGATAATAGAGGAAGCAGGATAAAATTCTGGCTCATTACACCCCAGGCTGGACAGCTTTTTCCAAAAATGAATCTAGTTGGTGTCAAAGAAGGGCTTCTACCTTGAGAGCAAGAATTAAAAAAAAGAAAATTCCTAAACAATTCAGTAGGGGAAAGAAGTTGAATAAGGCATATGACTGCTTCAAACTTTCCGCCCCTACAAAGTAGCAGGGCGACCCTGAGATGAATTTTTCTCCTCTTTAGTCTCTATGGCTAAGGTCTATGAGGTATTTCACCCTCTACTACCACCACCACACCCAGCCTCCATCACTTCAATGAACTGGCTTTTTTGGGGGGGAGGAGTTAGGCGGTTAAGTGACTTGCCCAGGGTCACACAGCTAGTAAGTGTTATGTGTCTGAGGCCAGATTTGAACTCAGGTCCTCCTGAATCCAGGTCTGGTGCTCTATCCACTGTGCCACCTAGCTGCCCTTTGAACTGGCTTTCTTGCACACATAATATTTCATCTCCCATCACTACCTTTGTGCAGGTGGTCCCTCATACCTGGAATGCCCTCCCTCTTCTTCATGCTGCCTGCTGGCTTCTTTCAAAGATCAGATCTAGTGCCACCTCCAGCTGCTAGTGCCTCCCTGCCCTCCCCATTACCATTTGTTTGTTGTAAATGCTTACATATGTATAAGTCATCTCCCCTGATAGAATATAAGCTCCTTGAGGTCAGGGGCTGTTTCTTTTTCGTTGTTACGGCTGTATCCCCAGCACCTAGCATGGTGCCTGGCACAGAGCAGGCACTTTTACTTGTTGATTCTGGAGAAGTTCACCATCACAAGAAGGCTGTGCTGTCTTTCTTCCCAAAACTCAAGTCCTCGATCCCTTTGATTCTGCTTAATAGCCCTTTAGTCTTTCCTGTAAGCTTACAGGATTGTAGCTCTAGAACTGGAAGGGAGCTTGGATGTCAGTGAGTCCACATCTCTCAGTTTACAGATAAGGAAACTGAGACCCATTGAGGTGAAGTGATTTACCCAGGGTCAAGCATCTAATATGGTGGGATTCAAACCCAGGTCTTCCTGACTCCAAGTCTGCTACTCTCTCCCTCACTGTCCCCTCTTTCTTTCTCAATGATATAAACAGGGCTTCAGACCCTCCCTGGTGTTATGGAATCGTTCCAACAAGCCCCATGCTTCTGAGCTCCTCACACTGATAACCACTCAACCATGTAGATAACTGAATTACACACTCAACTGGCGATTAAGTATGGCCCTTTCTTTGCTGGCCTCCGAGGTCAGTGGGGTGTGGGGAGAAGGCAGCCAGTCAGGATCTGTGTGCAGTGAGCCTTGATGAGGGGCAGAGCAGGACCCAAGCATTCCAGCTGACACTCCCACTGCCCAGGGGGCGAGCATCAGCAAACCACAGACCATCCATTGCCTGTTGCTTGAGTCCAGTCATTCAGTGGCCAGGCTGAAGCACACAAAAGCTGTTTGCCTGAATCTTGAGAGAGAAGGAGAAGCCTGCTGAGTTTACTTCTTATTCAGAAACTCGTCAGATGTGAGTTTTTAAAGGACTAATCCAGAAAACTGAAGAAATCCAGTCTTGCACACATGTACTGGGAGGCAGTCCAGTCCATTAGAGAGTGCTGGGTTTCAACTTAGGTCCTCTACCTGGGTCTGAATCCCAGTTCTTCCACTTATGCCTGTATGACATGGGGCAAGTCACTTAACCTTTCTGGGCCTCACTGTCCTCATCTGTAAAATAAGGAGATTGGGCTAGATGGCCTCTGGGATTCCCCTTTACAGGTCTACACCTAGAAGTATATGACTATAGCATCTCAGAGTTGGAAGGGGCCTAAGAAACATCTAGTCTAAACCCTCCCTGGCCAGTAATCTCCATTGAGCATCCTCAACATGTAGTCACTAAAGTAGCCTCTGAAGGCATGGTTCTTTTGTTAGCAAGTTTTCTTTACATCAAATTTAAATTTACCTGTCTGTAACTTCTACCCATTGGGCAGCTAGGTGGCGCTGCAGTAGAGAGAATGCTGTCTCTGGAGTCAGGACCTGAGTTCAAATGTGGCCTCAGACACTTACTGGCTTCATGACCCCAGGCAACTCACTTCACCCTGTTTGCCTCAGTTTCCTCATCTGTCAAATGAGCTGGAGAAGGAAATGGCGAACCTGTCCAGTATCTCTGCCAAGAAAAACCCAAAAATGGGATCAGAAAGAGTTGGATATGACTAAATTGACAAAAACAACAATTTCTACCCATTACTCCCGTTTTTGTCTCCTATACTTGAAAATTGAAGTCATAGGTCTAGACAAGAGACCTAAAATTTTTTTTTTTAGTCCCAAGTGTACCAACCTCAAAGTAGAAGAATTCTACTCTAAGTAGAAGACTCACTTGAAAGTCAACAACCTTCTGTATTATTTGCCAGGAGGCAACACTTTGAGACTTGGATGCCAGTCATAAGTAGTTAATGTCTGAAGGAGGCTCTAAAGAAGGAGAAGCCTGGGGCAGCTGGATGGCACAGTGGATAGAGCACTGGTCCTGAAGTCAGGAGGACCTGAGTTCAAATCCGGCTTCAGACATATAACACTTACTCGCTGTGTGACCCTGGGCAAGTCACTTAACCCCAATTGCCTAAAAAAAAAGAAAGGGAAGCCTATGGTGCTGGAGATGATCCATTTGGGGAGGAGAAAGAGGCATCTCTGGGCATGAGAGGAAGTGTGGTACATAGAAATGGTAGGAAAAGGCCTGGACTTTGAGGTTGGGTTCTGCTACTTACCATTAGCTATGCAACCTTGAGCAAGACCATAGAGTAGAGTGGATAGAATGCTGGATTTGGAGTCAGAAGCAATGGTTGTTCATTTTTCAGTTTTGTCTAATTCTGTGACCCTTTTGGGAGTTTTCTTGGAAGAGATACTGGTTTGGTTTGCCATTTCCTTCTCCAGCTCATTTTGACAGATGAGGAAACTGAGGCAAACAGGGTAAAATGACTTGCCCAGGGTCACACAGCAAGTAAGTTTCTGAGGCCATATTTGAACTCAGGTCCTCCTGGCTCCAGGGCCAGCACCCTGTCCACTGCTGTGCCACCTAGCTGGACCCTAAGATTTTTGTTTGTTTCTTTGTTTTTGGCTAGGCAGTGGAGTTAAGTGACTTGCCCAGGGTCACACAGCTAGGAAGTGTCAATTGTCTGAGGCCGGATTTGAACTCAGGTCCTCCTGACTTCAGGGAAGCTGCTCTATCCAGTGTGCCACCTGGCTGCCCACCCCGCCAAGATTGTTCATACTTGCATTCTAC